AGCCGTTTCCAATCCGACCCCGGACAGGGGTTGGAAGCATTGGAGCTCTCCTCTATCGTGTTTATGAATTATTTCATCGTTCACCTGGTTCTATGACGAGGGGAGGGGGGAAGCTGAGCCTCTGAAATTTGTAGTTTGTGTGTGTGTGTGTGTGAGTTTGAATGATTTATACAGAAATAAGTTACGGTTTATCTTTTGCAGTAGTTTTTTGTTTGCGCTTAATGAATTATTAGTAAAGGGTTTTTTTTACTTGCTCTTTGGATATATTGTTTATGTTTCTTAAATTTTACTCTCGACAAGATTTCAACTACAATTTTGAATTTTTTTACAGTGCCTTTCCTGTTTCGATCGATGCCCAAAAAGGAATACGATCGTTTTTACAGTTCCATCTACACATCGTTCGGTTTTCCTAATTTTCGTTTTTTTGTCGATTATAATTTGTAAGTAGTTCAATAGTTTTTTTTTGTTAGTATACATCTTTGATTTTCATTTGCCTTGATGATTTTCCTTTCCGTTACAAGTTTAAGATTACCGTGCATGAGAAAACAAAGTGTGAAACGTCGAGTGTCCATTAAACTAAAAGCAATAACTTAACTTCAATGTATGCTTCTTATTGGCATTCTAGGGGAGGGAGAGGGGAGGGGGATTAACGTTTTCTCGAGAGAGGAAAAATGCACAACTAAGAAAACCGGTATGCAAATTGCACAATAATTCAATCAGGTCGTCGGTGTACGAATTGTTTAAGGAATTACTTATGTTCAAGAGACTTCCTAAGCAGTGTGTGTAGTACATTATGTTGCAGTAATTCTAGATGAAACAAAAACGGACAAGTACAACTAATGTTCATTCTTTTCTATACATTCAGTTTTATTTCCGATTGAGGTTATGTACAGGAACTAGGGGTGCAATTGAATAAGGTGAAGATTGAAGGCGTTGTTGGGTGGTGGTTAGAATGATCTTTGCAAAGCTTTGGAATTGTGAAAGCTTCTCAGAGAGCGTTCTTAGGTATGAACGGACGGTGATCTAATGAATGGTGAGCTTGTATAATAAATTTAGATGGAAGCAAGGGTGTTTCTAGCTGAAACCATACGACTACTAACTTGAGGTCTTTTTACTTGTTAATCGAAGTACTCGTTGCAGTGCAGTGCGTTCCAGCCATTGACAGACTTTCGCATGATATTGACAAAATTGTTTTTCAGATAGTCACTGATAGATTTGATTCTCAAAAAAACCTTCGGCAAAATCTCATTCATTTTTCGTCAATGACAAAGAATCACCTGGGTACAAAAACTGTAATTTCGTGCATTCTGTGTTCAGGACGTAGATGCTTGTTCACTTTAACGGCTTTATGTAATTGCTTTGTTCAAGTAATTTAATTACGCTACCAATTTAGTTAATAAAAAAACTGCTCATGTTCGTCACTGACAGCATTGTCACTGACAACTGACATGGTTTGCCTTGACGATGATTTTTAACTCAAATGAGTGACCAAACCAGAATTTTGAATATCGCCGTGCATTGTCGAGATTTTGCAGCATTGACTCGTTGGTCTAAACATATAGCTTTCGTTAGTTGGGCTGAGCTGTCAAAGCTGAAAATTGATTTATCATTAAAATTGTTCATCCATGATCATGAAAAAAAGTAGGCCGCGCTGAAAAACTGACGTGCATTAGTTTTGCTGCAGTTTTTCTTTTGTGATTTTAATAAATTTTAATTATTTTCTAAATTCCTAGTTCTAAACTTTTGATTGAATCGAATTTGGCAAGTGCTGACACCGTAAGATAAGAAGAAAATAAAAGAGAAGGAAGATCCGTGCACTGCGTATCTCGTAAAACGGTTTTCCTACAACGAGACGGTGCTGAATATTGACGAAAAAATTGCAAGCGCAGTGAGGAAGCCATTCAAACAAGCGCTATTACAGGCCGGACCATTTCATATTAATCACCGTCAAGCAATTGGGATCATACGTCATCAAGACTATTTGGATTAAAGAAATGGTGCTGCATTTGGGAGAGCATTTTGATCCGGCTTAGGAAACACGAGAAGGCGGGCTAACTACAGTCTATTTAGGTAAGTCCCTTGCTTTGAATTTGTTTACATTGTATTTCAATCAGTATTTGTAAAAGCTTTACCAAATAAGGTCCTAAATTCTAAATTGAGCTCGGCTAGCTTGGTGATGGCTGCCGCTTTTGCTTACTGAGTAGAAGATCGTGGGTTTACTCCCAAGCTCCTACTCCTCCAAAAACAAAACAATTACTATGGTCGCATCGCCTGCTTAAGCGAATCCTGACCCATCTCCTACCCAACTATTCAACTCCTGTTAAGTAGATATTACATCAACAATATCCTTCCTTTCCCCGTAAAGGATAATATGGGCGTTACCGGAGATGGTGATTGTCATGATTTTCCTGTTCTGAATTTTGTTGGAGAACTATTAACTCTTAAATAGTTTTCCAAATAAAAATAACCATAAGAAAGAGCTTTGAGTGGGTTGGTTTATTTCCTTTACATTCCGTTATAATTGCTTATCTTTTGACAGGAAAGGAAGGAAAATAAACCAACCCACTCAAAGCTCTTCATAAAGGGATTCCGCTAAGAGGTTCGACAAATTTAAAGGATTCATAAGAAAGAGCTTAACGACGTGTTCAAGGTATCATCCAAACCATTTGTAGGATATTTCTACCAACCGGGTTACCGTTCGTTTATGATATGTGTTTATTAGGGTTTTCTTAAGTTTATTATGATTACTACGATAAAGTAGATACATTGCAGTTGCCAGTTTTTGATCTCCTCGAAAAGGAATCTCCACTGTCAGAAATGACGTTTGATTTCTGTTTAGGAGGGCTACAGCCCAACTAACGGGAGGCCGACTAATACGTAGCCCAATAAGTGAAATTCGACTGTATTTGTATTTCGTTTTAATTCTCATAGATTAATTTTTAAAGCAATGGACTAACAGCATGGTTGATTTACGTAACAGATGTCGCTAGTAAAAACAGTTACGGCGATTTAATTTGAATGCAGAAAACTGAAAAAAGCCTATTTTCACAAAATTAGAACCTTTTCAGAAAAATTAAAAAAATGTTACACTTGATAGGGGAGTTTACGTATTCTCGTCAATCCAAGCAGCATTCGCGCTTCTAGCATTTTCTGAGCGTCACGCACGCATATGACGTGTTTGTTTGTTTACATTTATCTGCTGCTTGCTTCTCTGTCCATTCCAATCGACAGAATTGTTCGAAACTGTTTGAAAGCGTTTTTACAGCGCTCCAAACTTCTCAAGTGAGTGTGACTATTGTCGGCAGCCTCTTTTACTTCAGCAATCTTTTCATTTGAACTGCGTGTTAACCAACTGTTCTATTATCGGCAACTCGAAATCAGCCGTATTTTGTAGTGCGTATATTTTATTTGAAGAAAAACCCGGCATTACAGGTTTGCTCAGTCGTAAACATGTATTTAGATTGAAGCTGAAACACGAAGGAATCGTTTAGATCAGGCATGGAAAATCATTCGCATTCATTTCGTGCATTCATTTACATTCATTTGGCTCTAACTTTTTTTCATAAACAGCATTCCGCAAAATGATGCATACAGCTTTTGTAGGTTTTGTTATTAGCTACAACTTTTGTCAACAAGTCAAATCCGTTTTTCGATGCATGACGAGCGAACAGAAGCCACTACTGTTTTTCAGTGAATGTATTTTACATTCACTGAAAAACAGTAACAAGTTCTGCCCGCTCTAGTTCGTGATGCATAAGAGATACAGATTTGAGTTATGAGCAAAAGTTGTAGCTAAGAACAAAAGCTCTATACATCATTTTGCAGAATGCTGTTGATGAAAAAAGTTAGAGGCAAATGAATGTAAATGAATGTATGAAATGAATGTAAATGATTTTCCATGCCTGGTTTAGATACATTAAGAAAATACAGAGAAATTAACGTTTAAATTATGGTTGCCGAAAACAGGCAATGGGTGCCGAAGTCATAATTTACCCTAGTTCAATTTTTATCGAACTGGCCACCAAATATTTTTTAGGTGGCACCATGCTGTCAGTAGTTGCAAGATCCATTGATTACATATCTGAAAATATGCAATCAATCATTTCAGAACAACTTATCAACATATTGTTGAGGGTATGGTTTTAACACTCCGAACACGATGCCCCCGGTAAAATGAGTAACGGCAAACTTGGGGGTGTTGAAAATGGGCCAAATTTCCGTGACATAATTAATGGACCTTCCCTTACCAAACATTGACGTCGTTACACATTTTACCGGAGGCATCGAGTTCGGAGCGTTAACGGTAATTCGGAATACAACTGCTATTGATTATATATAAAGGCAACAGCAAATCTGATTTCTTTTCATTTTTTCTCGCATTGAAAATATAAAATATCAGAAAAGGTTAAGGTAAAAAGAGCGTTAGTGATCATAAATCCCGGCATAGTTTAAAACTGCTAATAAATGATTTTCAAAATTGAAAGGTTAAAAGTTCCTTATGCAGAATATGCCGAAAATTTAGTTACATAATGGTAATTACAAAGTGCATCAATTAATCTTTGTTAGAAACTTACATAAAGATCGAAAAAAATATGAATTACTTTAAATACAGTCAGAATAGCGGAAAAGATGCACATAAATTCTATTTTCATTCTGGTGCAGTTGTAGCTGCAGCTGCAAGTCTTCTAACAATTTCTGTATCTTGACAACGAACATTTTGCTTGAAGTTAGCAATTTAGTGATTTGGATCATCTGTTTGTAAAATTTTTGACAGAACGGTTATATTTGACGTAATTATCCAGTTCCTATGCATACTTGAAGAATCTATTTGAATATTTAGTAGCCGGATTCCAGCAGGAATTATGCACCCACAAATTTACTCAAAAGACGAAACATACCAATCGGATACAACCGTCGATCTTCACCTTACTCAACGTAATAACATTTTCGGAATACCCGGGAAAACAGAGGAGAAAGATCAAACTAATAAGACTATCGAATAAATGGAGAAAATGCTTAAAGCTTCTTTTGGAATGATATCGCCGCTCGTCGTTTAGCTCATCGTGCATAGAGTTCTTTCGTACAGTACTTAAGTAGGTAGGAATGTCTCTCATCCTTACGCTTACGACACTAATATTGATTTAATTAAATTTACTTCACATTCTATTTGCATGTCTGTTTTCAATACGGAACACATTAACGTAAATATCCTCTTGTTTTTTTTTTGTAGTTCACTTCTTTGTTACGATGTAATAAATAAGAATCGGGGGAGCCACACGTAATCGTTGGCTACGAGCGGGGGTGCAACTTCTCAGAAGTTGCGTAGACTGCATTTCACTGTTGTTTTCCAGATCACCAAGGATCGCTCTGATATGTGCGTTGGAATACCAAGGGGAAGGGTTGGTGGTAGATTTGACAAGGATTCAAGGAACGGGGGTAGAACGGTTTCAAATCAGAAAGGGGTGATGCTGCTGATGGGCGGCGGGACTCGGTGACGAGGGCAGACCTCCGACGTCTTCATAGGGCGTCATCATCGTCGAAGATCCGCTGCCTAGTCATTCCTGTTTGATACCGCCGGGCCCCATCGTATGGTGCGGTGGATAGTGGGCAGGCAGACTTCCGCTGGACAGGTTCGGCATTTGGAACATTTCGCTGCTGCCGGAAGAGTGCGTCGGGCTTTCCATGCCGTTCGGGGGGTTTATTCGCTTCTCCTTTTGGCGTCGGTTGCAGAACCAAACCCGGACCACTTCCTTCTCCATGCAGAGGTTGTCCGCGAGGTTGGTGATCTCTTCACTGGTAGGTTTGCTATTCACGAGGAAGGCCTTTTCGAGGGCCACCCGGACGGAGGTTTCGATCGAGGTGCGCTTCTTGCGCCGGCGGCCAACCATCTCCGGCGTGGGCGTCGTGCTGGCGATGGTGCTGGGACTGAAGATTCGGCTGAAATGATCGGAAAGAGAACTTTTTTTGTTAATAAATTTGGAAAAATTTCATAGCCTTAGCTATAAGGATGTTAAAAGTCGTAAAATTATCGAAAGATTTCTTAAACTTGTTTGTATGTTAGCTTTTTTTAAATTTTGGGTTATCAAAAAGCCTAGTTAAGGCACGGTATTCCTAAGGCATACCGTGAACTCCCGTTAATCTGAACGACACTTCCTGTATCTTCTAGCAACCCTTTGGCCATCAGAAAAACGAGTTTCTGGTAGTCTTATTTGTTGTTTTGTTTTGACTATGCACTCCTTTCGATGCATGTGATAAATGACGTTTGAGCAATATTAGTTTGCACGGAGTGCAGATTAGCGGGGTTCAAACTAAAAAGTGTTCAGATTAAAAACGGTTCGATTACCAGGGGTCCACGGTATACGATTCAGTCTGTGATAACAAATTCAATTTGAAAGATGTATTCTGATTTAATTTGTGATACAGAATGATTGAAAAATGATTCATCGCATATACGTCTGAAATTTGCATTCTATACGATTCAACTTAACCTTCCGTTACTCGCGCTGTTGTACTTTGTACAACACATATGAGATTTCCATTGCCATTTTGTTGCTGAGTTACCAATCGATCTGAAAGCAACGGGTATTCCTCAAAAAACTTGTTTTGAACTAATCAAGCTAAACTTTTATTACAGTAAACCCCGAAAAAAGAGAAAATATAAATGGAACACATTGGAACAACATGGAATATATTGAGATCCTGACCAGATAGTAATTTACTGCCTGGGACAAAGTTGTTCAGGAGATCATAACCTGTTTGCTGGTAGTAGTTCAGAATACATGTACTATATGTATTAGACTGAAGCAAAATTTGAAATTTTCGCTCCACAGTGTTCAAACGGTTTCAAATCGGGTCCTCATTAGCCTCCGAAAGTTTAAACTCATTTGATAAGAAACTGACTTGGCACAAACGATTCAAACCATTTATATGGAAATTACTATGGGAAAACAAAACTTTTTGTTCATTGTTTTTTAGCCTTTTTACATATTGTACTGTTAACAAATTCTATTGCTATTCTTATGGGAATTTTTCTCAGCTACAACTTTGCAAAAAATCGTTTTTCAGCCAAACGTCAAATTAAATAGTTATTAATTATTTAAGGTATTGATAATCTTATGGCAAGATAAAACAACTGTATTGTGGGCAACACTGTATTCTGCAGTGTGATATAGTAGCCATGATTTTTGTCCTCTATTCTACGCGCCATGAACACCAATGTTGCCTGCTGAACAGTTGATTGAGCATAATCATAAGACATCAGTGACTTGAATCATTAATAATTTTTGTTCCTTACATTTGATCGAAAAGTGGTCTTAAACAAAGTTGTAGCTGAGAAACTAACTAACTGGTGAATTTTGAGATAGATATGAATCGAAATTATGGTTTCTCCATAGTAATTCCCATATAAACTTCAAATGGTTTGTACCAAGTCAGTTTCTCATTAAATGAGTTCAAATTTTGGGAGGCTAGTCTGGGCCCAATTTGGAACCGTTTGAGCACTGTGGAGCGAAAATTTAAAATTTTGCATCAGTCTAATATGTATAGTAGCACTAGTATGCATGTGAAATTCTTGCATGTGATATATTTCGAGATCCTGACAAGATATAAAGTTACTGTCTTGCATGAAGTCGTTTAGACGGTCAGTAGCTCAGAATTTTCTCACTACGCGGCGCTATTATACACGTAAAAATTTCGTATGAACAATTACTTGAGATTTTGACCAGCTAGAATGTTACTGTCTTCCCCAAATTGTTCAGGGGATCAAGACTTGGAAGGTGGATAGATGTTCAGGATTTTCTCACCCCGCGGCATGGGTTGTTCCAGCTCAAATGTATACACCAGCTGTGGTCGATGTCAACGATTTGAACCAAACTTTGTCAAAACGCTTATTTTGCCATTCTATAAAAAAAACTACTTTTTTGGTTTTGCTCTTAAGTGCCCAGATTCGTCTGGGCTACAACCTTGGAGTTTCAAGATTTTTAGAAATTTTATCTTTAAGAAGAGATTAACTCCACAATTAAGCGAGTTATTTTTGATCTTGGCGCGCCATTTTGAAGGTAAATAATGTAGATTTTTATAGATGCACTGGCATTTAATTTTTATTTTAGTAACTACAGTAAACAGACTGATTACCGGAAGGTATTCAAATTATTAAATATTGGGCATATTCACCTAGGACGGGATTCTTTATTTCTTAATATTGTGAGCTCAAATTTTCCCCACACTTTGGAAAACCCTTCTACTTGATATGCTTACAAGGGCAAATGATTTGAACAAATAGTTTTAAACATATGACCAGACTCTGGAAAAATTTGCTTGTCGCTACAGTCCAATGTAAGAACTGACATTACAGTTGTTGTAAGATAGCATACAGAGGATGTGAGAAATCAATCCCCCGTATTCTGCGAGTCACGTGACTCTCTCTCACCGGTGAGGTGACAATAGTCATATAGTTGTTCCGTCCACTAGAGATGAACTAGCCTAAGGCTAAAAATCTCTTTATTAAAGCCTTAAAAAAAAATGTTCCGTCCACTAGCGGTCCTACGTCAAGCTTCTATTCGTGCCCCTATAGGCACAGACCCTTCTACTTTTTTGTTGCCATTTTATAATCATTTCAGGCGATTTATTAATTTTTCAGCTAATAAACTTCAGTTGGAAAATAAGCTAAAGCTAGCTTAAAGTTCAATTAACTTGCGTAACCTTTGCAGGAAAATGTTCATTAATCTTTTATCCAACAATCTATTGCAATACATCCATTAATCATGTCAAATTTAAAGGAAAGCATTAATGTTCAATCATTAGATCGTATTTAGGTGCTCGGTTTTGGATTATTGTCTATGGGGATAACGCCTAAAGGTATGCAACGGTTCATATAAAACAACTGCTGCGTATATTTTCCTTCCGGTTGAATAAAATAAATAAAATAACTGCTTGGGTAATTTGCCGATTTTTGCACACCACCCATTTGTTGCACACTTCACATTGTTTACTGTACAGCATTTATCCATGACCATGAGGTTTGCCGATCATGGTGACATACTAATCAGTGATCAATTGTTGAACGATTAAACATGTGTTTTTGATACTCACACTGAAAAAAGTTTTCACATAGTTTCTATTAGGAACGCACATAATATTTTTCCAATAACAAAATTAATGATTTTTATCTCAATATCACATAACATCATACATTCCACGTGAGTAATCATATAGTTTTCATTAGACACATAAGGTTCATGTGATTTAGTGGAGCAATTTCGAATTATGGGTTCACATGAAAGTTATGTGAAACTCACACGTATATTGTCCACTGGTTGTGTGATTTATTTTATGAGTGCAGTAAAACATGTTTGAATTATTTTTGACATTGGGGTAAGAGGCGTATAGTGAACAGGGCGGGCATAATGGACATCCCGCACCTCGGTCTCAAACCTCTAATGGCTCAAATAAAAAAAAATAGTAGTAGGTTCATTATCACCATTGTGATTATTAATGACCAATTAATTTGTTAAATACCATAAGAAATCCAAGGCTAATGCACAGGAAGCTCACTATGCCCTTCCTCTCCCTTGTTGCATATGATTTCAGAGGATTTCTTAATTTTTCAGCTAATAATCCTCAGTTGTAAAATAAGCTATTACTAGCTCAAAAGTAAATTAAATTAAGCCATCTTTACAGGAAAACAATGGTTAGTATTTTATCTAACGATCAATTAACCATGTAAAATTTACAGAAACATAATAATGTTCAATAATTGGATCACATATGGACTCTTGGTCACTGAATTATTATCTATGGGGATAACGCCTAAAGGTATGCAATACTTCGTATGCTGTGTATATGTTGCTACTATTATGGATCGATTCAATAAAATCAATAAAAATAACTGCTATTTTAAGTACAATACATCGAAAGTTTATGTTTAATCATCTAACAGAATCACTGAATGGTTATTCTTGCTGAAAAAATTGGTGTGCAATCATTAGATATAAAGTACAGAACAACATGTGAAAAGGGCATACAAGCTTTTTATAAACAAACCTTTGTAGGCCATTTTCTCACCAACCGAGGGTCGCTCACGCAAACCAGCAATATCATCGGGAAGGGGAAAGTGTCCCCTACCCGGTGATGTTAAAGGTTTGCGTTGGTGTCATATGGGTGGCGAGAAAAGGGCATAAGAAGGTTTGTTTACAAAAAGCTTGTATGCCCTTTTCACATGTTGTTCTGGAAGTGTGAAATAATAGAATTTCAAACAAATGATGCTTGCAACAATTAATTATATGATTTGAGTAGTAGCTATACTGAATCTCCCTAACAAAGAATTTAAAAAAAAAATGAAGATCCGAGAGATGTCGCCCCTTCAGTGGTAGACGATAATGAATAAAAACTGAAAATTTTCATGCATTTCCAAATGGTTTCCTACCATTCCCATACATTCGAAAGTGACTGGCCCTCTGGATGTGTATGATGTCAAAAACAACAAAACATGATTAATTGGGCTCTGAGGCACATTCAAAAGTTTTGCTATACGGAATGTTTTTACCTCTATAAATCGCTGGTGGCCTCTGGAAATGCTTCATGAAACACAATAAAAAATTTCTTGAGGAATTCTTACTTCAAAAACGTTTTCAATCCAACTCAAGCTATCCAACAATTGGTAAATTACCCTATCGTGAGTACAATATATCAGAAATTTACCTACTTTCAATCATGCTTGGCATATACAGTTTTGCTCACGAACTGCTCATTTGCTAATAACTTTGCACACAGTTGACGAAACATAGTTCTGTTTGAAGGAGTTGATAGAATAGAGTTTAAGCTTGTTATAATATAAGTGTAAAAATTCATTGGTGTTAATTCAAATGTTAAGATTTACCTACTCTTTGCATATTTATAGCAAGTACGCGACGTTAGGCGTACGGACGTTAGGCATAATGGACGTTGGGCATAAAGGAAGTTAGGCATAATGGACGTTAGGCATAATCTACCCGATTAATTCCAGAAGGATGATAATGGGGACCGTCTATTGATTGCTGACTTCGGTGACAATAATGAAAGAGCCTTAATTTTTGGAACTCATGAAAACTTGCGACGTCTTGGACAGGCAAAGTATTGGGCTACAGATGGCACGTTTGCCACAGTTCCTTGTTTGTTTCGGCAACTCGTCACTGTTCATGGAAGTATCGCTCCCTCACATCAGCAGACGGTTCCGCTAGTTTTCATTCTGATGACAACAAAAACAGAATCGTTGTATCGAAAAGTATGGCAGGAAATCCAGGAAGCAACAGGTATGTTTTTTGTTATTGAATGAAAAACCACAGAATTCACCATTCTTCATTTCATGAGCTGTTCTTTGGCATCATATTTTATTCAACCTTAGCTGTTTTTTGTTATTGAATGAAAAATCACAGAATTCACCATTCTTTATTTTATGAGCTGTTCTTTGAGGAAAAGCTTTTCTTCTTCGACAATTGCAATATGTGTGTAAGAATATATTACAACAAATGTGTGATTTTTTTTTTATTTCTAGATGCGATTGATTTCAAGATATTGTTCAAAACTTCATTGCCAGATTACTTAACCGCTATCGCTACTAATCTTGGATCTATAAATATGAAGCTACGTCACTTATGATATGATAAATAATGGATTCCAAACTGTGCTTATTAAATAAACTTTGTTTGTTTAACTTGTATCATTTTTTATTCAACGCTTAGCCTAATTTAAGCATTGTTTACCATGCTCGAAACAGATTCCTAGAGTTGCATAGCAACAAGGTATTTTATGCCTAACGTCCATTATGCCTAACGTATATTATGCCTAACGTCCATTATGCCTAACGTCCGTATGCCTAACGTATTTATGCCTAATGGGATACACTCATCTATAGCAAGCTATGATCCTAATCTATCAATTACTTTAAAGAAAAACAAATTTCAACAACTGAGTGAAAAGTTATTAACTAATGAGCAGTTGGTGTGTACAACTGTGCATGCCAAGCATGCTTTCAATCATCTATCAGAACGAGTGAAGGATTCTTCTTGCTGAAAAACTGCATTCTAAGAAGCATTTAGTTAAATTTTATGGTTGTGCACCAATTGGATACAAATTGGACTCTGAGACATATTCAACTGATTAATTACAAGGAAACTTTGAACGAATATAAATTGCAAATGACCATGCTGGAGGTGGTTGTATTAAATTTGCGGCACGGTCTAGGAATTTTTCGGGTCGGAAAACTTCTCGACTTCGCTGAACATAGAGTACACAATTATAATAATGCAAACATGGTACAGGCATCGAAAGCTTCAATTAATAACTGTGAAAGTGTATCTATTTAGAACACTAAGTGGAGAGCACACAATAAGGTAATATGCAATAGGCAATAAGCTTGAAATTCGAAGAGGAATAAATTGCAAATGAGCTCTGAAAATGTTTCATCAATCGCAATCGAAGATTTTTTGATTAATTTCTATTTCAAAAACCTTTTCAACCTCGCAAATTCGCTAAATAACACAAAGCGCATGCTAAGCTGTGCAACAATTGGAAAATTACCCTATAGCCTACGATTTAAAGTTACAAAATATAAACCTATGCAAAATAATGTTCTCCAAACGGTTCGACGATTGGGGTTTGTATGTTAGTCTATAAAATTAGAACCCTTTAAATAATGAATGTAAGTAATACAAAAAGGCATTTATGGACTTCAAAACTGATAACTTTTTGGTTATTCACGGATCTACTGAAGGAAGATACACCCAATTTTATGAATAAATACTGTACTTTTTCAAGTGAGTCAACTCATGCCAGCGATAGTCAATCAAGTTTACTTACTTTGAAAGCTCTTGTTCTATGCTGTGATGAGTTCCGATTTGAATCATATTCCGGACAGCTTCAAACTCCGGAAACCTGCATTTGTTTGAAAATACTTATGAAATATTGCATCACATGTGCGCATTGCATACAAATTTACAAGATTACAGATTACCATCATGATGTTCAAATTATCCAAAGTTTTTGTCGGTACTCCTAATGTCGGAATGAGCTATGAATCTTGAAGCAAATCTACATTCACATTTCGTCCTCAATCTTTGAAAATTTCAAGAACTACATGGAAGCTACATAATACGGTAATCACTGTAAGGGACCATCCATGAATGACGTAGCATATTTTGTTTTCCCATACCTAATATATGACAGGTCACAACTTCTGAAACTCTCTCTCTCTCCACCTGCTAAATGCTACGTCATTTATGCATGTTCCCTTATACAATGCATGTTTTGTATTTATGTGGTCATTAAATCCTGAGCTGAGAACGGAAGAAAGCAGTATGTTGTGTTGTTGTACGATAAATAAATATTAATGTCAAATTACTATGCATAATGTTTTGGACTAAAGGCTGGTCCACTTAGAATCCGGACACTTTATTTATTCTATAGCAGCACCTCTAGTGGTGGGATTTGGAATGTTTTGACATCGATTTGTTTTGAAAGTACACGTGTTTCAGTGGTGGAAGTTTCGTCTCGAAAACAGTTGTACTAGATGGAAGACGAGACAATAAATCGATCCTGCACACCGTTTTGTTGGCGATTAAATTCTTGGTTTGAGTCCAGCTTCAAATTCCTTGCCAGACCATCAGTTTCCGAGCGAATTTATCGGTGAAAACAAACTTGTATTGTATTGTAACAATCTCAACACATAGATGTCATCTCAAAGTGGATAAATTTCATCAAGACTTCTCCCAAATTAGAATAAAAAAAAACCTTCCTTCGAAATGTATATATGGGCCCAGGGTTCCTTCCATTCATTTCGGCTAAAAAAATGTTTTACAAAATTACGGAATAATAAAATATTATGATAATATTTTGTTTGCGTAAGCAACAAGAAAATATTGTAAAGTTTGTGTTTGACAGATAAAACTTGCAAATTTAGCTTTGACAGAGTCACAATGAGTGGTTTTCTGATCGCCTTTTCGCGAAGAGTGAAGAGCGAAGAGTGGGTGAGATAAATGACAAAATCGCTTATTGCGACTCTCATGTAGCAAAATTGGCAGGTATTATGTGTTAAACACAAACTTTACAATATTTTCTTGTTGCTTACGCAAAGAAAATATTATCATAATATCTTATTATTCCATAATATAATAAAACATTTTTTTAGCCGAAATGAATGGAAGGAACCCTGTATGGGCCCAATATTAGGGGCACTTAGGCCGACATTAGGGATATTAAACCTATCTATTTGAGAAAAATCGAGTAAAAATCACTCAGTCTTCGAGGATATACAAACCAACCGAAGAACGCGGTGAATGGTTCTGTGCACCCACCGCTATTTTTCGGCTTAAGCTGGGTTTAGACAGGACAAGTCAATTGATCAACTCAGTTGAATTCAATTGGCTTGAAAAGTTGAGCCTGGTTTAGCTTTTTTTAATTCAAATTAGTTGATCAATTGACTTGTCCTGTCTAAACCCAGCTTAACTGTGTGTATGTTTTAAGTCACATACAGAAAATAAGCTCAGTTGGTTGGATGACAGCTGAGAAATAGCGGTAGGGGGACTGCGCTTTTCGGTATGTATACTCATAAAGCGAGTACTCGATTTTCATCATATCCGAGCAAGCAGATTTTCCAGGAAAATCTATGAAAATTTACTCACCTACGTTTTTGAGAACTTGAGTAAACGGAACTTAAATTTGAGTCAGACAAGATTTGTGCGCTGTGAATTTGTACCAGTAAGGGTAGATTCCTCATCATATGACGAAACTTGATGAGATCTTTCAAATTATAAACTGATCACAACTACTTCAGCAATCAGAAAAGGGGACCTAAATGAAGAGTTTCACGGCTTAATAGAGGCATGAAATACCATGAAGGCGGGTGTTGCGATTGGAAATATTTTCGACTTCCCATAGAGCATTGTGCTTGCCACACAATTTACGAATGCAAAAATGTAATAGGCACGGTAAGCTCTTATTTCACAGTTGTGCTCTAGGAACACTAATTTGTGGGGCTGTCCATAAACCACGTGGACAGTTGAGAGAGCGAACTTATAACACCGCGGGACTCAACAACTGTCCACGTCGCTTGTGTATAATTTTAACGTCAATCTAATCATGATACTCACCCGCCAGGGTTGGAAATACTGCTATCGGCGTCCTCGAGCCACTTCTGCAGCAGCGGTTTCAGTTTGCACATATTCTTGAAGCTCAGATTAAGGGCCTCGAATCGGGAAATGGTGGTCTGGGAGAAGTCGTTTCCATAGAGTTTTCCCATCGCCAGCCCCACGTCGCCCTGGGTAAAGCCGAGCTTTATCCGTCGCTGTTTGAACGTTTTGGCAAACTGTTCCAGTTCCTCGAGATCGGTGGTTTCCTCGGGCGACGGTTCAAGGGCACGTGGAGCGGCATTATGCTTCTGGAGCTGAGGAGTGTGAGCGGTCGAGCCGGGTGTCGATGGGGTTAGGATTCCGCCAACGTTCAGCTGGTTCACGTTCGGAGGTGTGGTTTGACTCGATCCCAGCATGGACGAATGCGCCGATGGGTGGTGTAGTCCGGGGCTTCCTGATGGGCTGTGGAGGGGTGACGATGCGGATAGATTGCCGGAGGTGGGAGTCGAACTGGCTTTGAGCTGTTGTTGCTTCTGTTGAAGGGCTTGCAGTTGGGCGACTGCTTGCTGGACCTGTGTGGGAGGAAACAAGATGGTTAGATATCAGAACGTGAATGGGTTGCTAGGGAAGATCAGAATGAATCCAACCTGTAGCGATCGTGATCCATCGTGCATTAGCTTAAGGTTAGTGGTGGTGGCAATACTGGACGCACTGGTTGTGATAGTGGAAGGATTGGTGATGTTAGTAGAGACGCTAGTAGCACTGTTAGTGATTGACTGAGGCGGAGTGGGGAAGCTTGGATTAAGCTATAATCGTATTCAGGCATGGACAGAGAGAAAGAGAAAAGACAGTGGTTTATGGTGCTGGTCATGGGAGTCCTTTGAGTTGGGATATATTTAAAAGTATGAAATATATAAAATAAGCTAAGCTACTTCAAGCGTACAAGTATTTGGATAATCCAAACCGCTTTTAACTTTTGAGCTGTTTAAATAATGTTATAAACCTCTCCAACCTGTGGAACAACATAAGTTTGTTTTAAGTGACAATACATCAAAATTCACTGATCCATTATTATAAACTCAATCAAATAAATATCTTAAATTTTATAACGCAACCAGAATAGTCGGCTACTTAGATTGCTTAAATGTTACATAAACTGAAGCAAGTACTGCTACTAATGAGTGCGAATATTAAATTACTGATCCCATCTCAGATGAAACTTACTATCTAGATTATTTTGTGCAAATTCCACACAGCTCCTTACCTGATTTTGCATGAGAAACTGGGCGGCAGCCTGGGCCGTGGCCTGGGCAGCAGCGTTCCCATTTCCGCCGACATTGCCTTGCGCCTGCATGAGCATGTAATTTTGCAACTGCTGCTGGAAGGAGGCTTGCTGCGCTTGCAACGCCTGCTGCAGAACGTTCAACTCCTGACTGGACAGACTACCCAGGGTTCCCAACCCCAGCTGGTTCTGTAGGAAAAGAGATCCCAACGGAAGCTGATTCTGGAGGGCGGCTAACGCCACACCAATACTACTGTTACTGGGAACATTACCCGGCGTTTGCTGAGGTGGAGACGGTGTTCGCCGAGAGGCATCCGTAATCTGTGAACGGGAAGAAAAGTGATATTGAATTTCGAAATTTGTTCGCCTAGCCGTGGGCCATCGGGAGGCAAATATTGACAATCGAATCGAATTGGATATTTACCAGGTTGAGAGGAGTAACGCGGTCCGGCCGTTCCGTCGGAATCGGGCTGCCAAGTTGGTCACGGTCGCTTCCATCTTCGCGATCGCTATAGTTATCATCTGTAAGAATAATGAAAAAGAAGAAAAACGTCATTTAAAATACGTACTTCTGCTTAGAAGGGTGAAGGCCACGTGCTGTGAATTTGTCGTTAATGACCTAGTTAAGAAAACATTTCACCTATTCAAAGGTGGGACAAATCCTTCAGAATGACTTTCTTCCACCGGTACAATCGAGAAGTCAATGCTTACAGGGGAAAACATTCTTTAACTGCATTGTGTTGAAATTTTCAACCCCTTTTCACAGTTGCACAGACACAACAAAATATGGGAAAGAATCATTTTAAAGTAGCGACTGCATTGAAGGGCATCTCTTTATTTAGCTTGAGGGGAATTCCGAAGGGTTTAAAATCAAAACACGCATTTAACCAATCAAACGCTGATTCCCGAACCATGGCGTTGCAGAGAGGAAGCATGTCACAGCAGGCGTTGCGAATTTGTTCGCTTATGTTACACACGTACCACCAAAATAGTCTTAGTAGGCCGTGTGCGAGAGTGGAAGGGGATGTATTTTTTGTTGTTGATTAAAGAAGGGTTGCTGCGATGAGTTGTTAGGGGCTTTCAGGGTTCCATCATATGCGATGATGATGGTGTTTTTTTTTTATTTTCTTCGCCAGGTTGGATAAATTCCAGCTGGTGATGATGTGTTTCCGTGATTGTAACGAGAACGCAATTACCGAATGCGCACACACATCGGAATGGACGTTGCTTTTCGATATCTTTCTTACGGATCTGTGCAGACAGGACCTAGGGTAATGATTTAGGTGTTACGGCCTAAAAAAACGCTGGGTCAAGACGAAATGTGTCGAGCTAAGGTCAATTATCTCATTACTTTCTTCTTAAAAACGATAATGAATCATATCATTCGAGCAGTTTAAAATGACGTTTTCTTAAACTTGATCTTTATTATGGAGCAATATTTTGAGATATTATTTTCTAGAACTTCGAGAAAAGAGGGTTTTATTCATGATAGGCCTAAGCAATCCGAAATTTATTCCCTCATTTTCTTAAAAGCATTGGTAGAAAAACGTCCAAAAACTTCTCGACTGTATAATTAATTCAAACTGGAATTATATTATCTTGTTGATTATTTTGAATTTAAAAAAAAACATCTATTTCGACAATGCTACTATTTTTGCCTTTTGTCAACCTTTTTAGTTTAGTATTCGAGTATTGTAGACGAAATACGCGTATCTGTCAAGGATAAGTAAATAAGGTAGTAAAATTAAATGGAAATTACTAATCCTTTTCTGTCTCTTTATACAGGTATTCCACTAAGACGCCCACAGTCATCAGGGAACATTTTTCGTTGTTTTCGTGTTTTAGATCTTATGTTGTGCTAAGATTGTTTATCTAAATAATATGCATCTGGATACATAGGAAAATTGACCCCAAAACCAATGTGTACTGTCAAACGGGAGCCAAACATTCAGAAGCTACAAATGTAGAAACAATTTCAAGTATTGTCTTTTCATAGAAATGAACCGTACTTTTTCAAGACACATTATTGATTATAAGCTCAACGGGAGAAACCAAAAGTCTCGGTGTAGAAAACTTAAAACCGAGTACACACAGATAACAATATTTTGTAATTTTCAACACCAACTGGAGCAGGGTTTTGAATATAAAGTTACAAGTTCAATGAATTGCAGCAGAAATTGACACATTCATGTAAACTTCGTTGAAATTAAGATTTTCGTTGAAATTAATTTCAAATGAACTTTTCACTGTTATGTATATACACACATACATGTAAAATTCAATGCAAATGAATGGTTTATTAAATACTTTTACGTAAAATTAATCTTGTATTGCTGTATGTTTCAAGTAAGGCTAGAAAATGCATCAATGTGTTAAATGTAAATTCACAACATTTGATGACATAGCTGGGTTACAATTCCAATAAAACATACTTTGGCGAAACACGAATTCAAACAATACTTTAGAAGGGTGACCCAGACAACCAGAAGTCCTATAACAATGTACAGACAATATCGTTAATTGCTACAGTTTAAGTCAAAATCGCATATAAGATTGGCATACATTATGTTTAAATAATCGTACAGAATGCAAATTTCCAACTTATATGCGACGAATCATTTTTCCGTCGTACTGTATTACAAATAAAATCGGATTACATCGTAAGACTTTTCAAAATGAATTTGTTATTACAGATTAAATCGTATATGATGTTAAATCAACTCCTTTAAAATTAAATTAAAATATGCACGTATATGGCCTCCACTTTTGTACGTATAAGCCATTTCTTTGCATTCTATACGAATTGTTTGTTTGTATATGTGTTTGTATATCACGAAAACAACTTTGAATATACGTGCATTCTGGTTGTCTGGGGAACTAGCCGATGGCTGAAAGCCTTGTTAATAGAAGAAAAAAAAAAGAACTTTATGAGAGTCATGAGGGCTCGAGCATTCCTGGCTGAGAGTTTTTGGCGGGATTCAACTGAAGAATACCGAAACCATACTTGAGAAAATTTTCAAGCAGTTTTTCATTGGCTTGTAAAATAAAATCCTTTGAGCCCGCAGTACCCAGGGGGGATCCAGCCGAATTTGACAGATAGACAGACAGAACCTTACTAGGACGAATGGGTCATTGTGGAATGTGGAATGTGAAATGAAACATTTTGAAACTGTCGTAGACTAAATATAAATTAAGATTGGAGATGTCAGGTGTATTTATAAAAAAATCTTCAACGAGATAGACGAAATGTCTTCACATGTCTTCACCGCTACTTTTCAAATTTATGACCAGGTCTGCGACTGAATGCGGGAGGGGTGTTCAATATTTCAGATTTATAAAACTGAGTCTGAACAGAAGATAGGGAACATGATTTGATTTCAGGGAACTTCGTTGAAGTTCGGCAAACTTTGTTGAAGATCGGGAAACTTCTTTCAAGAATCATCAAGAAGTGCAGCAAATGTTAAAAAAGTTCAGCGAATTTTGTAGTAATTCAGTGAACATTGTTGAACTTCATTGAACTAGAAATTTAGGGAAGATTGTATAATTTCAGGAATTTTTCTTTTAATTCAGGGGACTCCATAAAACTTAGGGACTTTGTAAAAAATAAAAGATATTCGAAAACCAATCAGGAAACTTCGTAGAAGTGGGAGCTTTGTACAAGTTTGAGGAATGTTGTGGAAGATAAAGTAATACTGTTTAATTTCAAGGTATCTTATAAAAGTTTAGGGACCTTTTTTGATTTCAAGCCACTTTGTTGAAGTTTAATGGACATAGAATAGTTTAGGGAATTCCGTCATTCTTCAAAGAACTACAGAGAGTTTCGAAGAAAATCAATGAGAAACGTAGAAGAACAGCGAATTTCGTAGAGATGCAGCGAACTTCGTAGCAGTTTTCCGAAGTTTATTCAAGTTTAGTGAATTACGTATCAATTCGAGGAACTTCGTCAAACTTCATAGAAGTGCAGAGAGTTTTGTGAAAGTTCAAGAAATTTCGTAGAAGATCACAAATCTTCGATGAAGTTTAGGGAATTTCGTAGAAGTTCAAATAATTTTGTTGAAACCCAGCAAATTTCTAATATCATCAGGGATTTTCGTATTAAGTTCTCATGATAAACTGCGAAGTTAAGAGCTTCCTGGGAGTTTTAGGGACTTCGTAATCGTTCAAAGAACTTCCCAAATGTTCAGGAATATGCGTAGAAAAGCTTGAGGGCGTTTTCTGAAGTTCAGAGATGTTCATGGATGTTCTGAGAATCTGATCATGGATGTTCTGAGAATATCAGGACAGACATGTTCAGGAAAGATTGTATAAGTTATAGGAAACTCGTATCAGTTCAGAAACTTGGTATAAATTCAGTGAACTTCTTAGAAGTTTTGGAAACTTTGTATGTGTTATGTTAAAAATAGTAGAAGTGTAGGGAACTGCGCAGAAGTAGCCGGAGCTTCCCAGAAGACCACATAACTTCCCACAAGCTCAAGGAATTTAAACTTCCTATTGCATTGGGGTCATTTTTGGCCTGGAAACACTGTGTTAATTTTTCCTTATGCATTAGGAAGGCTAACTTCACTTTCTAGACTATAGGTTGATCATGTGTTATTCGTTAGATCATCAACTGTTCAAAGCAATTTAAATTGCGTCTCTCAGATATTATCCCAAGATTTCTGGTTGATCAATGTGGTATATGTGAAATAGTAGTAATTAAATAAAAATAAATAAAGCATTATTTGGAGTAAAGTAAGCTGCATTTGGCAGCACTGGAAGTCGACATACTCCAAATCAAGGTTTATTTATTTTTATTTAATTTCTAATATACATAACATATTTTGTAAATTATTCCAAAGATCTACAGCTGATCAACAATTTCAATAGAATCCTTTGGTTATTTTTTCAAGACTTCAGGTTAATCAAGTTGAAGACCTGAAGATATTTAATAGCTCAAACATTCAAATGGCGTCTCTCAGACGGTTTTGCAGGAAGTATTTGAAAGACTTACAGCTGATCGAAGGTTTCAATGAAGTCCTCTGGATTCAAGACTTCAGGTTGATCAAGTATTATTCTGAAGATCTTCAACTCTTCAAAAATTCAAATTACGCCTCTTAGATATTCTTCTAAGACGGCAAGTTTATCAGGAAGATCACCAGCTATTGAAAAAATTCCAGAAAAGTCCTATTTATTTTTTTTTAAGACTTGAGGTTGAATATTTGAAAACTTATTTTGATTAAATTATTCATAATTAACCATTTCAAAAAGGAGGTTAAAAATGAAGTCAAAATCTTTATTTCTATACAAAAAATCATCACTCGACTAGGGGAAATGACGGCTTCGGCATGACAGACTATTTTCGGCAACCCAAATTGAAACACTATTTTCACTTGATTTTCTTACGAAAACACTTCGCTGAATGCATGCAAACGATTCTTTATGCTTTCAGCTTCAATTTGACTATATTTTTACCACTGAGAAAAAGCAATCTAGCAGGGTTTTTTTTAAATGAAACACACGCACTATAAATTGTAGCTGATTTC